TATATCTTGTTGATTGTTGAACCACTTGACCCGCATTGCTTTTTACGAGCTTCTCTCCGTATTCGCGTTAAGAGATTAAGTAGAGCGAGAAACTGTTCAAAACTGGTGGATATCGTGTCGAAATCAGAGGAAACAGTCGGCGAGATTCGTCACGTTCGCCGTTCGAAAACAATCGCGTCGGAGTTGATTCGCGCAGTTGATTGATGTAATTTCCCCGTGACTTGAGCCGAGAGAGTGATAAACAGAGGCGCGGAGGAGGCGCGTTGTTCTCGTTATCCAATGAGCCTAATGCCCTGAGACAGGCATTCCGGGCACGCGTGAATCGAGTTAAAGCCGAGGACCACCGACTCGTGATTCGTCTTCCAATTTCCTCGCGTCTCGTGCTCCTCACGCCGCGGCAAAACCGTCCCTTAAAACTTATCGATAAAGGCCAACGATCCTCGAGACACGAGAAACTGTCCTCGTCTATCGACTCTCGAGGAACAAACGAGGACAAAGACTCTCGAACGCGGTCCTCGTCGCGGGAATTTCGTCGCGTACGACCGTGAACTTTTCCAGCGTCTAAATCGAGCATCGAGGAACACAGGTCGAGAACGAGACTGTTTGAATAATTTATGAAGGAAGCGTGACACGCCGAGTGCAATGTGCCATGGAAAACCGAGCAGTCCCTTAGTCCACGAAATTATTGTATTTCGACTTGCCTGTAGAAAAGTTTCTCTCGTGGAATATATCATTTCGTCATTTGTTGAAATGAACTTGTGCAAAAAAGGAAAAAGAACAGTATTGTATACTTACAATACTTACAAAGAGAGTGTTAATATATAAATAATAATAATTACAGCGACAATGAGATTAGTATGATAGATGAGAACGTGTAAATAGAGATGAGTGAGATAGATAAATATAGTGGTTACAGTAATGGACGAAAATAATGAAGATAATGATGTCGGATAAGATAAGGAACTGTTTGAAAAAAATGAATATAATTGCAATAAAGCAATAAGAAAAAAAAAAAAATACACAGTAAGATATGCTAGTGATTAAAGAGGATGAGCTAGACTAAGCTGTCGTTGGAAACAGGCCAGATGCGCCTGTTGCGCGCCATTTTTGAAAATTTTAATAGCACTGCATTTATTGTCGGTGAAAGTGAAACGAATTTAGGCGCGACTTCGCGAATAAATAATCAAAATCGACGATTTATTATACGCTGGCATTGTGTTTGTGCTTTCACTCTATCGCGGAGAGCAAAGAATATTATCGAATCAGTCTCTATTTCGGTGTGTAACCTTCTTTATTTAATAATTCTTCCGATTGTAAATGCTCGTGTGGCAGACAATTTTACAATAATATTGTTAATATTTGTTTGTTGTAAAGAGTATAGTAAGCTAGCTTAAATTTTTATGATTAATTGGAAAAATAGATTAACCTAAACCTAACCTAACTTAAACCTAACTTAGATCTAACCTAAACCTAACCACTCGAGTGAATTTGTTCTCGAATTTTAGTTTGAATTTATCCGAGTACAATAAAAGCACGTGTGCACGTACAAAGTTCAATTATATTTCGCGAAGATGTGTGCCGTTTCGTGAAATTGAAGTTCCTAACCTAAACCTAACCTAACTTAAACCTAACCTAGACCTAACCACTCGAGTGAATTCGTTTTCGAATTTTAGTTTGAATTTATCCGAGTACAATAAAAGCACGTGCGCACGTACAAAGTCCAATTATATTTCGCGAAGACGTGTGCCGTTTCGTGAAATTGAAGTTCCCTTTGCGATCAGAAACGCTCCTCTGAACGATAAATACGAAAATTGCTTTCCTGCTGATCAATTCCCTTCCTTTGAATGAGAACCGTGCTCGGTTAAAGCGGGATCGAATAAGAGGGAATCTGCTGCGAAACAGACAAAGGAAAAATGAGCTCGCGTAAATACGAATAAAAATTCACGAGACGGCGGAAACGAGCGCGTAATTAGTATTTATCTATGTACAGATAAGGGATTGTTAATCCTTATCAATTGAGCGCGATCAGTTCAAGTTATATCTTCAAAGAACAAAGAGTTATTATACACTTACTTATTATACACTCGGTATGTCGCGACTATTGTACACAGATACTGTTTGAAGTTTTGTATAATCAGGTTCTATAAGCGGTATTCTATTCACTTGTTTACATTAACAAGTGTCGTTTATTTACGTTCCCGGTTTGTTTATCACTGTCAACCTGTGTTTATTTGTCTCCGTTCATTTACACATTTCATTTGTTTATTTATTTTTGTACGCTTACGAGCAAAACAGAGTAGCATGGAGATTCTGATTATACTAAAATTACCGACGACTAAAATCTCTAGTCACTAGAGGCATTGAAATTGAAAAAGTTAATAAGACTTTGTAACACGCAGAGCTTTTATTATACAGAAATCATTTAAATTTCTAAAAGTACACAATTTCAAATATTTACAAAATATCTAACAAAAATATTATAAATTGATCATTTTGACTATTTTGGTAATGTAACTAATCGTGAACACCGTTTTCGTCTGAAAATTACGAGAATTCTGATATAATAAGATCTAGATTAGAATTACCAAAAAATGGTCAGAATGACCAGTTTATAATTTTTGTCAGACATTTTATGGACAAGCAGTGTCTTACAGATTTAAATAATTTTTCGAGAAAATATAATTTCTCTATTTCTTTTCTCTCTTTGTCTGCTGGAAATTTTACACTTTAATCGTTGGTAATTCTAGTGCTAATAAATGATGATAATCTGTATAATATAATTTAAGGTTAGGTTACTCGAACCCTCGAAACTCTCGAAACTCAGATAAGAATAAATATAAAGTCAACGAATGAAGAATCATTTGAGATGCTGCGCGAACGTTTGTATTTTCAAAGTTAAATATTCGTTCGTAATTCTGGGGAAAGTGATAACACAAGTCTAAAGAAATTATCGAAAAAAAAAAAATATATATATATATATACTTTGAAAAACTTCTCAGTACGGCAAAAGAAATAAATCAGACGAAAAGAGAAATTTGCAAAAATTTAATAGTCCTCAGGCAAGAATCTGGATTAGATATCTTCGTTTGTTCTTTCTGGAAACAAGAAAAAAATAAAGTCAATACTTCGAGAGTTATATACTTCGAGAGTTACGAGTTTCTTCTACAGTGTTTCTAGTTACGTAAGTTTGAAAAGGGCCACTTCAGACACAATTCATTTTCGCATCTGTGAGTCTGTGGATCGGAAACCGATCGTCGAATCGATCCTCTCCGCGCGAGAAGGAAAAGCGCCGCCGTTCCGTTCTGATACTCGTGGAAAGTCTTGGAACTGTTTCCACGTACGCGGAGAGCCACGTGACACGGCGGCGTGTCGTGGCCATCTCTCATGGTGTTCCATTTATTTCTTTACTTCTTGCTTCCAGCGACGACAAACGAGAAAGAGCAACGAGATCGAGCAGAAGGAGTACAACCAACACGTGGTGCAGAGGCACAGGATATCTCTTCGGGTAATTCTTCGTTCATCGTTGACCGGTGGAAATCCGCGAAACGTCTCTCTCTTCTTCAAACGCTCGATCGTCGCGTGAATTTCACGATCGTCAGAATGATATACAGCGTTGGCCGAAACTCGGAAGTGAAGTTCCCGCCTGCGGTGAAAAAGGCTGCTTTTCTTTTTCTTCTTTTTCGCCCCCCCCCCTTTGTTGCCAGAGCGTTTTCCACGTGACAGAGTGACGGTCCGTGTTGAAATCTAGGCCACCGGGTTTACAGAAACGATAATTACTGGTAGCACTGTGGATAATTGCTGACAATGAGCGTGTACGCGGTTCGTTTTGCAGGTGCTCGAGCAAATAAAGACGGTCATAGAGAACCGGAACCAGTTAGCCTCGGCGACCTCCTCGGATACCACGAGCGCTGTACATGTGAGTATCGAGGCGTCGTATTAAATCTTAAGAAAAAAAGGAAAAGAGTAAGAAAAAGAAAGAGAGGAGGAGAGAAGACATAAGGGGTTGAATTTTCGCTTTTATCTCGATATGAAAGTAAGACCGAGAGATGAGAACGAAAAGCGACAGAAAAAAAAAGAAAAAATAATGTATCAAGGCTCCGAGTGATCCTTCGCGTAAGGAAACTTATATTTTTTTTTCAATTGCCAACTCTCTCATCTTTTCTTTGCTCTTTATGACGACAGTAAAACGTTTGGCACGGATGGTAGTAAAAAAAAGAAAAAAAAAAAAAAAAAAAAAAATAAAAGTACTGTACAAACGAAGGATTAGATCCACCGCGCGCACTTTGTTCCTTGCCATTTGTCGTATCTCACACAGTTGATTTCTGCGTTTCAGGCTGTCGGTGAACATTATCAGCAGGAAACCGACGAGGTAAGATAGCAACGATGAATACTTTTCGTTCCGAGTATCGGTGTGATCGCGTGGCGCTTTTGCGGTTCGGCGATTAGTCGCGTACGCGATGTGCGCTCGTCAACTGACGATTGTCGTTGTTCGTCCGACGGATGCGAATAAGGATCGTTAAATCGACTAAGGCTAATAACGATAAGAAAGTTTGACCGGTGAGATCGTTCTCGAGTGGCAGAGAAAAAAGTGACGGAAATAAAAATGGCCGACGTGCGTAATGGTCACAGCCCGTTGAGGAAATTTCTGGTCAAAGTGCGGACGTTGAGTTCGATCGTGGCGAATTTTCGGGGCAAGATAACATACGGGGTGAGAAGCAAACGCTCGCTGGAGAACTTTCTCTGACAACGGAGATAGTTCCGCAGAATACGTTCGCCAGGCTATTAGTCACTTTCATTCGTTGCATCACTTCTATTTACGATCACGACAGCGGAATGTTTCGACAGCATATCGATTCGTTATTTTCTTCTTTCTCGGAGGAAAAGAAAAGGAAGTCGATTGCAGACTTATTCGATCTTTCGAAACGATATATGCTTGATTGACGTTGTTGGTCATAAGTATTGGGACACTTTTATTTTACTTTTGTTTCGTTCCACGATTCTACATGTTATTCCAGGTATTATGCGCCGCTGTGACGCTAATTTCCGGTTTCTCTCGATTTTTCAGAATCGTATCATCGGCCTCGAGAAGCAGGAGAGAAACGGAGAGGAAAACCAAGCGAAGGTGAGTCTGTTTAAAAATGACCTACAGGTATCTCAGTCGGTCTGGCCTATCCATCATCGGCAACGTGCGAAAGAAAGACGGGACATCGGCCGCTAATGGCCGAGCCGTAAATCAGTATATCAGGCGGCGAATTCGCTGCTGGGCAACAGGTGGCGAATGTTGACCGACAGAGATATCCACAGTTCGTTCCCATCGTTTTTCATCTTCGCGACGCCAACGAATCGAGAAAAAAATC